TCTTCTTCTTCGTCTTCTCCTTCTTCTTCTTCGTCTTCTCCTTCTTCGTCTCCTTCTTCTTCTTCTTCGTCGTCGTCGTCTTCTTCTTCGTCTTCTTCTTCGTCTTCTTCTTCGTCTTCATCTTCGTCTTCTTCTTCGTCTTCATCTGATGTCAAACACCGTCGCGTAAACAAGTCTGCAGTCTGCGAGCATGTCATGGATACCTAACCTAAACATATATGTTTAGGTTAGGTATCATTCAATGAAGTTTGACAAACGCCAGGTCCTTGCAAAAGAAGTCCGTTATCTACCCAGGGTGCTGCGAGATTGACATTAAAAAACATCCTAATTTCAACAGGGAAGATGGTTTCTCCGTACCACCAGTTTGGGATCCAGTATTTCCTCTGATGAAAAATCCCAAATAGACATAAGACTGCAGTACTAATTAATATGTACTAGTTTATTCTAATTTCTATTATTAATTAATAATAAATTGAACTTAATAAAAATTCATTCAATAAAATAATTTGTAAAACTTAATGTAGCGTAAATTGGAATGTTTTTTTTTGTAAAATTATAAATAAGGTATTTAATTAATAACTATTGTAACTATAGTAAAAAATAGGGTGGTTTGCATCAATATTAGACATAACTGACATGACCATGGGACCTGTAAAGGGCCCGAAACGTCGGTTTGTTTGAAAAACCAAATATACGCGATTTAAATCCGGAAAAATAGTTTCATTTCCTATGTGTAACAATCGCCAAAACCTAAGAACTCGATATATATTTTTTAATACAGTTGCTCAAAACGTGGTATTTTTCGCACTACAAATCGTGCGGAAAGTTGGATTTCTCGCACTAGTGCTTTTTACTTTTCCAGTTTTTTTTAAATTTACTGTTGTTTTAAGTCTTAAACATAGAACTAAAGAGATTGTATATTTATTTCATATTTATGTGCTTTGTGACGTAAGTCTTTCGTCATTAAAACTTATATTTACTTACAAATACTATATGTATAATGAACGTATCGAGTGGAGCTCCACAGTCTCTGCCTACCCCTGAATGGGTGACAGGCGAGATTTTTATGTATAAATATGTTCTATGTATTACAGATAAATTGTATCTCACTACCGTGCACGGGTTCCTAAAGAAGTTTAAACAAAAGTACCAGGACTTCATAATAAGAAAAGTGGTTACCGACCGATATTACAGAAAATAAGCAAAAACAGCACATTAGAACTAGATTTCCATAGACTTTTAAATAATGGTTGCAGTGGTTGTATTTCATTATTTTAATTTACTAGCAGAAAATGAGTTTTTTTTTAAATACTGTTTTATTTTACTTTCAATGTAGTTTTTTCGCATATGTATTAAAAAACGTCGTTTGGTACACGTGCGGATTTGTCATTTTCACTTGCCTCGAGACTCGTGAATAACGACTAACTTTCCGCACTTGTATCAAAAATAACTATTCTGTAATTAGAAAAGAACGTGCGATATTTTTTTATCTATCAATTTTTTATAAATAAAAATCCCCGTTATCATCGTTATCATAAACAAAAAATTCATTCATATTTCACGACCCGGATATGCGTGGATAGTCCTTGAGAGTTCCTGATACCATTCTTTCTGATACTTAACATTATCTAAACGGTTACCTTATCCAATCTGAGAGCTTATTCATTTGAATGATTTTTTTTTGTTCGATAATTGAAATAAGGATGTTCTGAAACTGTATTAAATTTGTTTAATACTCAAGTAGCCTGGAAGGAAATGGTTTATAGGACATCGACGGTACTGTAGACTAGGCTCTACTCTATGAGTAGAATTGCTGGCTGAATATAGGTAGTGATTATAGTTTTATATTTAGAATGTTAAGGATTGAAATAAGAAAACAGAAGATCTTGACATATATGATTATTGATTTGTAACCCAAAGCCGAACTATGTAAAAGAATACAATAAAGTATATTTTGAAGTTTATTCCACTTTATATTCATAAAAGTACCTCTCGCTACGCGTCTCAAGCTAGCCCCCGTTACAAGTTGGTGGAGGCACAAAATGGGAGAAGTATAATATAACGCAATCCGAGTACAACTTCATTACAAAATGGTGGAATGCGCCGGCTTACAAGGAAAGCGTGCATAAGGATACAAGTGGTAGAAGCCAGTTACAAATGGGATACAAATGGTAGAAGCAAGCCTACAATGTGAAAATTTTTATATTTTATATTTATAAAAAAATCTCTGAGCCAATGGGAGAAATATAATATAACACAAGCTTGCGAAAGATGGAAAAGTTCCAATGAAGGGAACTCCGTTGGAAATTTTTTTATATATTTTTACGACACAATCACCGGGAAAGCGTAACAAAAGGTCGTAATTTATGTTTTTACTTATTTAATATTATTTTATAATTGATACCAGTGAAAAGTGCACGAAGAAAATATGTATGGTATGTCGGCACAAAGGTTTAATGGGTTCAACGACGTAGATGAGTTTTTGAATCAATTTGAGACCATCAGTGTATTAAATAATTGGTCTGATGTGCAGAAGAGATACGTGTTTGCATTGTATTTGGAGGGGCCAGCTCTACAATGGTACATAACGTATTTTTCTTCATACATGACGTATGATGTGATTGCACAGAAGCTAAGAGAGGAATTTCCCTCACAGATAGATTACGCCCGTGAATTTTATTATAGGCGACAGGGGCCTAATGAATCGCTGATAAGTTATTTTTATAGTTTAGATAAGTTAGCGACGAAAGCGAATATTCAAGATGTTCAGTTTATTAAGCATTTCTTGAAGTCTTTGATACCCAATTTTAAATGGATGCCGGCTAGTAATTTGTATTTATCTAAAGAGGAGTTGAGGAAAACAATTATCCAAGTAGATGATATATTTAATCACAATTATAATGTGAGTCGACGAGATATTGAATTGCCAGTATATTGTCACATGGAGCACTCTCACTGTTGGCAAACACAGGGTGACTCTGCACCGATAATTAGACCAGAGTCTAAGCAGTCGGAATGTCGAGTGCCACAAGCACCAGTCGTGCATCAGGATACGCCAAGTCAAGGGTATTCACGAGCACATAGTAGTGGATCTTCGTCGGGATCTCCTCAACGTGGATGTCAGCAAAGCGCAGCTGAACATGTAGAAAATTTGTCTACAATTGATAGGTCTAGTATAGATAGGGCACCTTTTATATCTATTTTTATTAATGATGTAAGTTGCGAGGCTTTGGTGGATACTAATGCTTCGGTTTCAGTAATTTCTCGTTATTTTGCGGAAAGGTTGCAGTTGCGTATCGATGATACTCCAAGTTTTCCATTACGTACAGTGGGTGCAACGCCAATAAATGTGCAGTCGTCCACCAAAGTGTCGTTGACATTTAATGGAAGGGAATATCGATCAAGGTTGCTGGTTGTTAAGGATATTAAAGAATATCTAATTTTGGGCCAAGATATTTTGAAAAAATATAATTTCGAGTTGTCAAAAGTGGAAATTGACAATAAAATTTCTTCTTCTAAGTCCATGACAGATATTGGATCAAAGAAAGAAAAGTCTCCTTTGAAACCGATATCAAAAAGTTTAGATAGCTTGTCGGTTTTGCCAGAAATGATAAGTAATGTCGACGAGAGTGATAAGACGTGTCGATTACGTCAAGATTATGATTTTAATAAAAATAATTATAATTATGATTTGCCGAAGGTAAATACAAAATATAATTCGGAAAACGACATTTTTGATCGTGTTCGCGTAAATAATGTGGAGAATTTACGACGTGAATTGGTAAAGCGGGCAACTTCGATCGATCCACATAAAGAATAATATGTAGGTAATATTCAATCGCAACGGAAGCGAATGTTTGATAAGAAAGATAGAATTGCTTTGTTATCTAAGAGGTACGAGAAACTTAGGGTAGTATATCGGTTGAGTAGAATTAATTATATTGTGAGAAAAGTTGGTGTAAATAGGAATAGATCGGGTAGGCAGGATCTAATCCATGTTAATAGAATGAAAAAGTTCTATAGGAAGTAACTTAATGTTTTTTTTTTAGTTTCTACTAGATTAATTAATCTTTTATATTTGTTTTTCATATGGAACCACGATGACATTGATGAATATTTTGAGAAAGTTGTTATTTTCCGGCAAATGCAGACTTAGAAGGACGGGAGGAGAAGATGACTACCGATGTGGATTAGATAGATATAACTTACTTTTTATTTTTTTTTATTTTATGGGTATATTATCCAATGTGTGTTCATAGTTCGTGGTCACTCTCCCAGATGAACAAGAACTGTCTGCATTCAAGGAAAATATATTTATTTAATTGTTAGAAATCCTTCATGTGGTGTACCCTCATATCATATGTATGTTAGGAAATTGTCGTTGTTAGGGTTATATGTGTGTTTGTACCTGTTTGTTTAAAGAAAGTTGGTAAAGCTGATGGAACGTAGATAGCTGCAGGATGAGGACTAAGGCAGCTGGGAGAGCAATATAAATGTTACCCAGTGATCATCCGATGGATGCTCAAGCCTGTGTCGTCGTTGTGGCAGCATGCACGATGAAGATAGTTTAGGGAAACAGTTAGGGAGTTTTCAGTAGTGATGTTTACCATTTTTTGGTGAGGATCATTCAGCCAGTTTAGGGTCGCTGAAATAAAGTGTTAGGGTTTAGTCAGGTTCCCTAATTAGCTAGGATAGCGAGTAATTATATATTTTTTTTTTATTTGTTTGATTAGGATGTGGTCATGGTCTGTCCTTTTAGATAGGTTTTTGGCAGACTAAAGCCATAGCCTCCTCGGTGGTTACTTGTTGGTAAGATGATAGCTTCCGAGCAGTGTATGGCTAGCCCATAGTAAAGGCTGATCACAGATGTAAGTTACCTATCATAGGTAGAGCACCAGCTAGGAATATTCACCCCTTCAGCTGTGAGGAAGAGGGATGTAGACTAGGCTCTACTCTATGAGTAGAATTGCTGGCTGAATATAGGTAGTGATTATAGTTTTATATTTAGAATGTTAAGGATTGAAATAAGAAAACAGAAGATCTTGACATATATGATTATTGATTTGTAACCCAAAGCCGAACTATGTAAAAGAATACAATAAAGTATATTTTGAAGTTTATTCCACTTTATATTCATAAAAGTACCTCTCGCTACGCGTCCCAAGCTAGCCCCCGTTACAGTACCTACACATACAAGTTGTTACCGAGGTAAGCGCCGACAAAAAACAGTATAATAATTTAAGTAGCGGGCTTTAACTGGACGTTTTGAATTTATGTTGAAATTTCACTCAATGTGCTGGCATATAGCGGTCAATAGTTGAACGCGAAAAATTCGAGATATTTTCTTAGTTCTCCAAAAAAGAAGCGACCGTATTGTAGCGGTATAAGGTTTACTTTCGTTCCTTGAAGCAAAAAAAATATTAGATAAACAGAAAATTGAAAATTTGTTAAAATTAAATAAAATTACACTTAACGATGATGTGACACACCACCATAAATAATATTAAAGGTGCGACCACAGAACAATAAATACATCACAAGTGCTTAGAGGGCGCTACACGTGTACCACCAAGATTTCAGTTTCCATTTAACATCCAAGTGGCGTGGAATTATCTACCTGTCACGTTTAAAAAAGAAAATGAATGTCATTATTATATGGTAGTGATGCAACGGAAGTGTCACAATGGAAACTGAAATGAATACAGATGTCAAAAATTAATCTTAGCGGAAACGGAAGTGGACGCGGAAGCAGAAGTATAAATATTAGTATTTTTAGTAGCAGTAGAGCACCTTGTGAAAGAGTTCGTTCAGGGAAGTACTGCCACCTTATCCATTTCTGCCGCCAAGCAGTAATGTCAACATTTATTTGTAAGTCAATGGCATTACTTAAATAAATACTTAAACGTCAAAATACAATGAGTACTTTATAGAAAGATCTCGACGAAATAGTTCCAAACAGCGCTTGGTTTTTGTTTCGTAATTACAATTAACGCGCCTGTTACCCCCTGTTACCCCCGGGACTTCCGCAGTTGCTGAAGCAGAAACAAGGGCCTGTTGTATAATATATTATATATACATATTATAATGATACAACAATTTATGTTGTTGTATTGTAATATGTTGAAATTTATGACTAATATTATAATGATACAACATAAATTCTTGTCATTATCAGCTTTGTATTATTCACTTATCAGCTAATCACATTTCCCGTAAATATTTTAAATAAATCATTACACCGTTGTACTTTGGTGTTAACATACAACTTGATACTAAGAAAAATAATTAAATATGACGACTATATTTCATTTTGTAATTCTTTTAATTCTGTGCTCTTTGTTTTATGTTATTGGAGGTAAGTCTAATTGATTACTTTAGTTTATTTAATTAATTAACTGTCAGTTTAGTGCACGGCTTCTTCATTAGGGGTTTGATTAACCCTTAGTTACTCGTACTCCCCAATTTATTCGGAAGATTTCTAATGAATTATTTCTATTTTTTTATTATTATTATTTTATTTCAATTCTAATGGTATTAAATAAAAGAATCAATATTACTATAATATCTATTAGACCTCAAAGGAACAACTCAAATAAAAACTAATAGGAACTTATAAAAGAAATGGAACTAAAAGTCATCTGACAATGATAACAATCTGAAAGTAAACCCGAAAGTGATCGTTGAAAACAAATTTAGTGCATTTCATGCATTTATTGGAGTCCACGTTAAGCTGTCGGTGGGACTGGTCGATTCTTAAGATCATACACCTCCAAAAGTCGTTTTTTTATAACTTTTGGGGATTTTTTCAAATTTATTTTCCAATTATTTTTATAAATATTCGGTACTTCAACGTTTATTCTAAATCCGGAAATATAGATTCATTTTCTATGTGTAACAATAGCGAAAACCTTAGAACTCGAAAAGTAATAATGTTGTTATTTTACGTAACGAAGAAACTACAAAATTTCAAAAATTATTCTTGTAAATAAATACATTTGAAATATTACCACATAAGTAATCAAAAAAAGTAAACAGAAAATAGAACGATCCCTAAGAGTATGCGAGATGTTAAAGGACTGTCTGTAATTTTGATCTCGAAATGATTCCTAGGTATTTTTTAAAGAATTTATTCGCTCACATTCCCTGTTCGTCTCGTCATTTGATATCATATCAAAAAACACTTGGACTAGGATAGATTCAGAAAAAATATTTAGTATTATTAATTGGATCCGAAACAATAGTTTCATTTCCAATGTATAGGTTTTGTACTGTGATGTTCACCACGTAATAAAACAAAGAGAGGAAATGGTATCAAGAGATTATTAGTATAAATAACGGTGTCACCACACAAAAACACGTGTAAACGTAATCTTACATTAGGATAAAAGAATTTGGATTGGATATAATAAAAAAATGAGATAAGGCATTTCGCGGTGAATTATCGAGTCATACTAGATAATTGAATATTATTTGAAAATACAGTGTGGGTTTCGGTTAACACTCATGAATAGAAGACTGACTTTTATATTACTTTTAATCGACAACTTAATTTTATTTCACAAGTGGAGACCATGTCTGTTAAAGTGAAGAGAAAAAACACAGACTGTTTATGCGTGTGTTTAGTTCGCCGTGTAATTTAGTTTAGTTTTCTTATTTATTTTATATAATACTTAGTTTATAATAAGTAAACCATATCAAGGCCTATGTCCAGCAATGGACTTCTTTCGGTTAAAAAATTAGTAACGACGATGTAACCTTTCATTAAAATTCTATAAAATTAATCCGTAAAAATCACAGACTTAGAATAGTTTCTTGAAAAGTCTAAATACTTAGAATAATTGACCACAAATTTGGACTTGTAAAGTTGTAAAGTTTTGAAACCTTGAAAAATTTTGGACTTGTACAATTTTTTAACTTTAATCTGTTGGATCTTATGCCTTAATAAAGGTTCAGTATGATTTGTAGGATTTGTTGAAGTATGCAAAGAGCCAAAACAAATTGGAAAAAAACACCAAAAGAACGGTTTTCTGTGGAATATGTACACACCAAACTGGAATCAGTAGATGAGTTATGGGCTCAATTTTGTTCAACACACATACAAATCGTAAAGGAAGCTGACCGAAAGGCACTAAAGTCAAGTGAGTATGTCAGTAATGATGTTTATGGAGAAGCTGAAGCATTGAACATCGACCTAAAGACAGAATTAAAGAAAAAATTTAATATATTAAATTAAACAAATGCCGACGGTCAGGTAAAGCCTGAAGCAGGTAAAGGGACGGCAAATGAACAAATAAGATTACCAAAAATCTCCATACCGTCATTCTCAGGTACCTACACAGAATCGAAGTTTTCGGGATCTGTTCACGTCTCTGGTCCACAATAACCAGTCATTAGACAACGTCCAGAAACTACACTATTTGAAAGGACGTCTATCGGGAGACGCAGAACAGCTTTTGCGACACATTCCAATACTGCAGGAAATTATGCTACATGTTGGGAATTATCGACAACACGATTCAATAACAAAAAGTATTTATCTAGATGCATTTGAAGAGGTTTCTAAGTCAACGTTGTATAAGTACAGAATCAGCGAGCTCACTAAAGCAGTTACTCGACACAACCAATGGTTGTTTATATTCATTGCGGAACATCGAAGTAGACATAAGACACTGGGACATCTTGGTGATACACATTCTGTGTCTTAAATTAGATAATGAAACTAGGAAACAGTGGGAGCTAAAGGTGAGCGAGACTTCAGATGACTTCTCCACTTTTGTTCAATTCCAAGAATTTCTGGAAAATAGATTTAGAGCGCTGGAAAATATAGAACCAAGATTAGTAAAAAATAGTACTGTTCAAAGGAGTACTCACCATGGTGTCTCGCACACTATTCCCAAGGTTCATCATGTTGCTGTACCATTATGTTCTTATTGTTCTGAACCTCATAAAGTAATGTTTTGTAAAGCTTTCTCTAAGATAGACATTAATTCACGTCGTAACTTTGTACAATCTAACCATTTATGTTTTAGTTGTTTGAATCCAGGTCACTCTATCTTTTTATGCCGTCAGACTACTAGGTGCCGAATATATAAGAAAAAGCATCACTCTTTACTACATCCTAAAAATCCTACAGTGTCAACTGAACCTAATGTTGAGCTTGATCACTCAGTTGAACGTAATGTTGCGCATGCAAAAAAACCCCCACAAATGTCACATGATGAGACCACTAAGATCACCACCTGATCGACCAGTCATAGCCAAGTTTTGTTGGCTACGGCTTTAGTTAAGGCGCAATCGAAAACAGGAACGGGTGTAACAGTTAGGTGTTTACTCGACCAGGGTTCACAGGCTTCTTTCATCACAGAGTCTGCCGTTCAACTACTGGGACTGAAGAAAACACCGCACAAAAGTCGTATATCGGGTCTAGGAAGTAACGAAAAAGCTTATATAGCTTCTAAGTCAATGGTTCAAGTCGAGATTCAGTCACTTCATGATCCCAACTTTGTAGTAGCTGTCAATGCTTTTGTCCTTAGCCGACTCACATCTATTCTCCCTGAGAAAAGAGTTGTAGTTGAGTTTTATTCAGAGTTTGCTAAGTTGACTTTAGCTGATCCCACCTCTGACACTCCAAATAAAAACGACATGCTGCTTGGAGCAGATGTTTATGGTCAAGTCTTATTGGAAGGAATAATCAAAGGTCCATTAGGTACACCAACCGCACAACGAACTTCATTGGGTTGGATTCTCTCTGGTCCTATTAAGGGTAACAGTTTCCTTTCTAGAAATGTTAGTGTCAATCACGGTCATATCAATGAAATGGATATGCTCAAACAATTTTGGGACCTTGAAAATGATAGTAAGGTTCTAGACTACAAAGAGTTATATACTGAAGAAGAAAAGAAGTGTGAAGAATTGTTAAACTTCCATTTCGAGACACGAAACCAAAATGTGTGAATGGCAAATCTGAAGCCATAGCTGCTAAACGCTTTGCATATCTGGAAAGAAAGTATGAAAAGAACTTAGAACTAAAAGAAAAATACACTGAAGTCATAAATGAATACGTGAACTTGGGACACATGGTGGAGGTAACAGATCCTAATAAAAATCTCAACGAAGCAATGTATTTGCCTCACCACGCAGTCATCAGAGATGACAAAATCACGTTAAAAGTACGGGTCGTCTTTGATGCGTCGTGCCCGAATAGCAATGGAGTGTCACTAAATGATTCACTCATGATAGGACCCACCTTGCAACCTGATTTGCGTCACTTGATAATGGGTTGGCGTCAGTATCCAGTATGCCTAGTATCAGACATTGTGAAAATGTACAGACAGGTGATAATCGATGAGAAGGATACAGATTATCAAAGAATATTGTGGCGGGAAAATCCCGATAAACCTCTGAAACATTACAGATTACTGAGAGTTACCTTTGGAACTGCCTCTGCGCCCTACCTTGCAGTTCGCACATTGCATCAAGTAGCCTACTATGAAGGTCAAAACTTCCCACTGGCATCTGAAAGAGTACTGAAACACTTTTACATGGACGATCTTTTAACAGGCTATGATACAGTAGAGGAAGGTAAGCAAATCTATAATAAAATTAATGAGTTATTAGCAAGAGGTGGATTTGAGCTTCAAAAATGGAGTAGCAATAATGAAGACTTAATTCAACTAGTAACAAAGGAGAAAAGGCAATCGGAAGGAAACGTGGAACTAAAAATAGATACTGTGATGAAAACTTTAGGTCTTACCTGGAATCGAAGCAGTGACGAATTTTAACATTGTGTGCAGTTACTGGACTTGAGATTTCCTGTAACGAAGAGAAGTGTGCTGTCGGACATATCTAAATTGTTCGATCCCTTAGGTTGGTTGGCGCCAGTGATCGTCTCGGCTAAGATGTTCATTCAAAAGTTGTGGCTCTCTGGGATTGAGTGGGATGACAAATTGCCACCTCAATTGCTAAATGAATGGCTTGGTTACATAGAGACATTGAAACAATTTATGAAATTCAAGTTACCTAGGTGGATTCATACCAGCAAAAGTGACGAGATTTTTGAACTGCAAGGGTTTAGCGACGCGTCTGATGATGCATATGCAGCCGTAGTATACGCACGTGTTGTAGACAATCAAGGTCACGTGCACATATCGTTGATCACTTCTAAAACAAAGGTGGCCCCGACTAAGGTGTCAATACCGCGGCTTGAGTTGTGTAGAGCCGTATTGCTTGCCAAGTTACTAACAGAGGTAGCAAAAGTCATGAATGTGAGCAAGATGAACATCCATGCCTGGACAGATTCTTCAATTGTTCTGTCGTGGCTGAATAGTCGACCTAACCGATGGAAAACCTTTGTGG